GAGGAGGAGGAGTGGGAGGAGGAGGAGGAGGAGGAGGAGGAGGAGGAGGAGGAGGAGGAGGAGGAAGAGGAGCCGGGTTTCCTCGGAGGCTCCCGAAGTTGCCTGGAAGGGTCGAGTGCCTCCACGGGGGGTCCTGGAGGGCTCGAGGGCCCCGCCCCCCCCGGGACTGGAGGATTTCAGGGCCCTCCCAGAAGTTCCTGGAGCGTTTGGGAAAGTTCCAGGGTCCCCTTGGTTGGTGGTTCCTGGAGGGCTCAGGGGGGCTCCAGGGTCACACCAGGAGGTTCCTGGGGGGGTTCAGGGGGCCCTCGCGGATCGCAGGAGAGTTCCAGGGGCCACCGGGGCGTAGCTGGAGACTTCCTGGGGGGGGGCGACTGGAGATTCCCTGGAGAGTTCCCGCTGCCGGGCGATTTCTGGAAAGTTTAGGGGGGCCTCGCGGGCCACTGGAGAGTTTCAGGGGCCACCAGAGGGTCGCTGGAGAGTTCCAGGAGCCCCTAGAGGGTCACTGGAGAGTCCCTGGTCAGTTCCAGCTGCAGGGCGATGTCTGGGAAGTCCCAGGGGGCCTGCCCGGGCCACTGGGGAGTTTCAGGGGCCAGGGAGGGTCGCTGGAGAGTCCCAGGGACCCCTGGAGAGTGTAAACTCGGAGGGGTTTGTAATTTGTAACTTGAACCTGCCCGGAGGGGGTGTCAACAGCCCAGGATTGGGTTGTTGGGCCCCGTTTTACAACAGCTACATCAACACCAACGACAACGACAACGACAACAACGACAATTGCAACAACCATCATTCTAAGACTGTTCGCTCCTATCTGCTCGCGTGCCACCCAACGCGTATATCCCGAACCCTGGATACGCGCCCTGTTCGTCTTCGATCGTACCCCCTTGGGGGAATATCTTTCTTACGTGCCACGGGCATCTAGAACAGCCCATACGGCAGGGGCAAAGAGGACGGACGGAAGGGCGAGGGAGAAGGATGGACCACGGAGAGAATTAGGAGGAGGGGGGGTAGGAGCAGAAAACACGTAGCAGAACCAGACGGGCAGATCAGGCGGGCAGACCCATAGCATGGCGGGGGGGTCGGGAAGGCAGGCCCAGGCGGCCAGCACGAGAGAAGGCGTGTTATTCATTGAAGCGTGCGTACTGTGTGCGTCGCGAGGGGAGGTCGAGCGATGGCACGCTTCCCGAGTACATCGTGTGAGAAGCCAGAGCAAGAGCGTGACTTCTGGGAGGAGGAGGAGGAGGAGGAGGAGGAGGAGGAGGAGGAGGAGGAGGCGCGGCGTCTGAGTAAATCGCGAAGGGGTCCCGTGCGAGAGCGCAGTTCCTTCGCAACCTGTGGGGAGGTCCCGCGCGAGAGCGCGTGCTGGGAGTGCGCCGCGGGAAGGTACGAGGCGGGAGCCGTTGCGGCTGCAGTCCGGAGGCCCGGGGCCCCGCTCGGTGGCCCCGACTTTTTTCCCTGGCAAGAGATCACGTGACGAAGAGCTCTACGAGGTAAAATCACGTTTTTCTGTTTTCATCCAACGTCGGTTCCGCCAAGTGTTTTGATAGTAATACGACTTGGGAATTTGACTGGCGAACGCGGAATAACCCAGCGCGGGTGCAGAAGATCTGGTTTCTCAACTTGGTAGCGTCCAAAACCCGGAGAGGAAAGGGCAAACGCGTGCGACCCCCCCCCTCGGGGGCCCTCGAATGAAGTGCAATGGTTGCCGGAAGGGGGGAACAGGATGTGTTTTCAAGACTCGAGGATTCCGCATCAACAAAGCAACAGCAGCAGCGGCATCAAGCACACACAGCAAAAGAAGCATCAGCAACATCAACAGCCCTGACAACAACCACATCAACAATCTATTCGCTCTTGCCTGCTCGCGAACCACTCAACACGTATATCCGGAGGCCTCGAAACCCGCCCTTGTTCGTCTTCGATCGTATCTCCTTAGGGGCCTACTTTTCTTACCCGCAACGTGTATCTCGAGCAGCCCCTGAGGCAATGGAAGAGCAGACGGATGGAAAGAAGGGGCAAGGGGGAGGGAGGAGGATGGAGCACGAGAGAAAGTAGCAGGAGGGGATTCGGAACAGAAAGCACGTGGCAGAACCAGACGGACAGATCAGGCGGGTAAACCTTAAGAGGCGGGTCGGAAAGGCGGGTCCAGGCGGCCAGGTCGAGCAGGTGGGTTGCTGAAACGTGCGTCCCGCATCCATCTTCAGGATTTGTTCGAACGATAGCGCGATTCCTATGCAAATCGTTCGGAAATCTACAGCGAGAGCCTTTCCCTGAGTGTCAAGTGCGCGGCGTCTGAGTACATTGCGAGGAAACCCCACGCGAGAGCGTGATTCATATTGTGAGGAAGTCCCGCGTGAGAGCGCGATTTGGGAATACATTGTGAGATAGTATTCGGCAGGAGCGGCTGCTGTTGTAAACGGGGGGTCAGGGGCGCAGTTTGGTGATACCTGACGTTCCCTTGTTAAAAACTTGGTGTGTGCCCCATGAGAAGCGTTGAACTTGAAGAATAGACAACGGCTACTGGGCAGGGGGGGTCACCTACATTTATGATTTGAAAGCGCGTGTTCTGCCGCTGCTGGCAGTGAACCGGGAGGACGTCACTGGGGGTTTCACCCCCGCCCTTCCCCCTCCTCCTTCCAAAACCGTGTGGTGCCACTGGAGGTTCCAGCCTCTCCGCCCCCCTCCCCCGGCCAGTCCATCACGAACAGGGGGGTCGTTCCCGGTTCGACCGCCCCCCCCCCCTTCCTCCTCGCCGCCAGCAACCCGTCTCCCCCTCCTCCCCCGCTCCGGATAGGGGATTGTGGTGGGGACAGTGGTGGGGATAGTGGGGAAAGTGGGGCCGTGGTGTGGATAGTGGCGGGGACAGTGGGGACAGTGGCGACAGTGCGACAGTGGTGGGGGCGCTGGCGGGGACAGCGGGGTCACTGGTGGGAACAGCGGAGATAGTGGGACAGAGGTGGGGACAGTGGGACACTAGTGGGAACGGCGGTAGTGGGGACAGTGGTGAGTGCTCTGGTGAGAACGGTGGTGGGACAATGGGATAGTGGTACAGCGGAGACAATGGCGGGGACAGTGGGGACAGTTGGACAGTGGTAGGGACAATTGGGACACTGGGACATCACACTGGGACAGAGGTAGGGACAGTGGGGACAGTGGGATAGTGGTGGGGGCAGTGGGGACAATCAGACAGTTGCGGGGGAATTGGGGACAGCGGGGAAAGTGGGACCCTGGTGGGGATAGTGGGGATCGTGCGACAGTGGTGGGACAGTGGCTGGGACAGTGGGGACAGTGGCGGGAACAGTGGGGACAGGCGGGACAGTGGTTGGGACAGTGGGGACAGCAGTGCGACA